TGAGCCTGCCCCCCCACCCCACCGCTGATGACTTCCACCCCGCAGCACCCTACAAGCAGAGCTACAGCACGACGGCGCCGGAGCTGGGCGCCACAGGTCAGCCATCTTTAAAGGATGTTCACACAAAGAGAGGAGGTTAGATCAGACAGGAAGCTGCCACATGTAGTCAGTTCAGCAGAGAGCCGCGAAGCTTCACGTCATGTTAACTCAGTGTGCAGCTGTTCAGTGTCGGGTCTGGATTAAACCATCAGCTTTATGTTTTTGCAGGTTTGGGGAAGAGTTCGGCTCAGGACGGAGAGAAGGGAAGCTGTAAATCCAGCAGAGTTTCTGAGGAGCAGAACAACGAGAGCCAGAAACAAAAGGTTCAAGAAATCTGTCCGTCATTTAGTGGATGAATCAATCGCCTGATTGGGCTCTGAAATGTCAGAACATGGTGAAAAATAGCTCATTCTGGGTTTGGATCTGGTAATTCTGATGGCTTGATCTTTATCTGGTAATTCTTACTCTGACCAGCGTCCAATGTGGCAGATGTTGTCTTCGTTTAAAGATCTTCAGTTTACTGTCAGAGAAGGAAAGAAACCAGAAAATAATGACGTTAACTGACTGTTTTTAGGAAAGATCTCCGTACAAAGAGATCTCTGTTTGACATGAAGCACTCCAGTCATGGGTTCTTTATTCAGTAATCTACCAGAGCAGACTCTGAATGTTAGCTTGTGGTTCTGTACAGGTTCTGGAGGAGAGGGAGAAGCTGAGGCAGGAGAGAGAGATCCGGATGAAGAAGAAGGAGTATCTGATGAAGGAGCTGGAGAGACTCCGGAAGCAGCAGGGTGGGTTCAACCATCATGTGTTCATCCACTGGGACAGATCTGTGCTCAGAACCGCCTGAACCGGCTCAGTACACCTGACGGAACCTCAGCCTGCTTCTGTTGTCGCATCAACCAAACCCAAATCAGTCAGCGCCATGGTGATTTCAAAGATCAAATGGGCCGATCAATGCGTTTTTAAACTGATGGAGTCTGAGCCCGAACAGTAGCTGACATGGCGTTATGCTTTATCAATCAATAATCAATTAAATAATACCACAAACTGAGCACAGTGGACATTAATACACATGGGACATGATGTCAGTAAACGTACTGTAGACCAGCTGCAGTACCTGGTTGTTCCAACAGGTGGAGCCTCTTACTGTTTAATACTGTAGAGACCAGAGGAGGCGTCTACAGACTACAGCTCATGGTGGCAGCAGAGAGCATTGTGGGAGTTTAGCAGCAACGGGACCATGACAGAGACTCTGAGGAGGTTCAGGACCTCCAAGCAGAGCTCAGGAGTTAAAGACCAACTGGGCCTGATGAGGACAGAGTTCCTTCATCACAGTAACACGACTGAACGATAACAGAACAAACGTCCACTGTGTTCATGTCCTGCTACTTATTGTTTGAATGATAACACCGTTGCTCAGTCAGCGCTGGCCGCTGAGCGTGGAGGTAACCGTGTTGTTGGTTTCCGTCCCTGTCCACCAGGTGAGCTGCTGAGGAAGAAGCGCCGGGAGAAGGACGGCCACAAAGACCCTCTGTTGCAGGAGATCAGTCACCTGCAGGAGGAGGTCATGGCTCAGATCTCCAACCTGCGCAAGGAGCACGAGGCTGCCGAGAAGAAACGCAATGAGATCGACAAGGTGGCGCTCATCCTCGGTGTGAGCCCGTCGGACCGGCCCCGCAGGACCAGCAAACCGCCCGAGGTCCAGGAGGACCAGCCAAAGGTTAAACGAGAGGCAGAGAGAAGCCCTGAGTGCCGACAGGCCAGCAGCTCCACGATGAAGGTACAAACACCTGCAGAGCAGGTAACACGGGGAGCCGGGCTGTCAGAGAGCATAGCTAGGGCTCAGCGGTGGCACCGAGCCACCCACAGCTTAGATTGGTTTATGAAAAGACGGGCCGACTGAGCCGGTTTCACTCAGAGGGCTCGGCTCTCAAAGCTGAATACTGACCAACAGCCAGGTTACTTTACATGACAGTGTCTTCTGTCCAAACACTTGGTGGGGATGAAGTGAACTTTATGTTCCTGTAGTTTAGTTTTCTTTGCATGTTTAGTTTTTTATGTTGTTTAGTCAAACGGGTCAAAGCTCGCTGTTCGCCCGACCGCTGAATGTCAATGTAGAGGTGTGATGTTTCCTGTGATGCAGTCGGTCTTCTCCATGGTGGAGAGCCACTCAGAAACAGACCAAATGTCTCAGCAGGAGAAGTCTTGATTCTTCTGGATGAAACATTTCCATTGAGTGACTCAAAGTGGAACCAGACGAGCTCTGTGCATCAGGACCCTCGTTGATTCTGATTTAAAGAGTCTGTAAACATGGATAAATATTCTACCAGTTAAAGTGTGACATGGACAGGACCTCCTCCTGTCGGTCTGACCACTCTAACAGTTCAGCTTTTGGTTCAGGTACGTCCTGATCGAGGTTTCTCTGCTCCTGATCCAATCCCAGTCAGTTACTATGAGCTATGATGCCATTTTCATGTGCTTTAGATAGCTGTAGTACCGAGGTGTTGTTCCTACTGTTTGCTACCATAAGGTATAGCTAGTGAAGGAGCACCGTGACAGAGGCTAGAGTAGGACAGTGATCCTACGCCCCAGTACAAACATCTGAAGTCTTTCCTCGTGGGTTTATTTTTATGTAAACAAGAGGTAAACAAACCAACTACTTGTTAAACTACCATGCTCTGGTCCGACTGTGGGCCAGTTGTTGCAGGTTTGAACAGATCAGTCACGTTCCTGAGATCGGAATCAGGACGTCCCTAGTTTTAGTCTCGCAGCTTCTGTGATTGTGACAGAAAGCAAAGCAGGACCTTTACGAAGCTGTGTTCAAGCTGAGAGAGTCCCTCTCTACACCAGTGTGGTTAACACGTTCACAGGTAAACAACAGGTAGAGGCTGAAAGGTAAGAAGGCACCGCCATGATTCAGTGAATCAACCTAAATTATTTATCTTCAGAAATGCAGAACACTGAACACACATTTTATGACTTCAATAAACCTTTTATTTACATATTCTTGGTTTGTAACGCCCTCATGATGTCATGAAAGTGTAAAAGGAGTTGGAAGAGACTCAGTGAGAAAAAAGCAGCAGTTCTTTGGAAAACTTGTAATTTTACAGGTTTGTAGCTTCTCAGTTGCTAATATTCTGAGAGCTTCGTTCATATGATAAAAACCTCAGTTTGACTCCTGAGATTCTGGTTTACTGACTGGGACATCCGCCCAGCAGGGGGCACTGCAGGGAGGGCTGAAAGTCACTGTGGGGAACTTATGTTCGAATCGCGCTCGGACATGAGTGTGTTAAGGTGACTCGAGGATATACGGTTAAACTTGAAATCGAATTGGATATTACTGTCTGTCTAAAAAGCAGCGTGTGGACGCGTCTTGGATGCTGGAACCGAGTGCAGGTGAGAAACTTTGTGAACTTCCCATTTTGTGGAGCTAAAACACTCGTGTGAGTGAGTCCTGACCGTGTTGACTCCTGCCGCCGTGTTGACCCCTCCATCTTTGTTTTCTTCAGCAGACCTCGGTGGCTCCGTTGCCATCAGGAACGACTCTGGACAAGCCGTCGGTCGCCGCCTTGGCTCCGCCTCCCGAGCCATTTGAATACTATGACGCTGGAAACCACTGGTGCAAAAACTGTAACGTCACCTCTGGTTCCATGTTTGATTTTTTCACGCACTTGCACAGCAAAACACATCGAAAGGTTCGTTGATGCTTTTCTGTCCTCCGACGTCCATCTGTACCATTACAGACATCTGATACCTGGACCGGCCTCCTGGTATTTGTTCCATTACATTTGCTTTTCTTTGCAGACCCTGGACCCCTACGAGCGACCCTGGGCTTCTACTCCAAACAAAATATCCAAGAGCGTGCCGTCAGAAGAGAAGCAGACCAAACCAGCCAAAGGTACTTTGACTGCACCTCCAGACCGTCCAATCATAACGTGTTGCAGTGATGTCGTCTCTGAGCCGCTGAACGTTGTCAGCCGTCTTTTGCTTCCAGGTGGATTTCTGCTGCAGTTTCTCAGTGTCTTAATGAAAACAGTGCTATGAAGTGAAGAGCTGCAGAGGAGACTCCTGTCATATGTTTTCTTGTCTCGTCCTCCACTGACAGTGAATGTAACGTACTGCTGCAACACCTGGAGAAGTGCTTTAACTGCTCAGTGCAGGTGTGTTAGTACACCTGGTTCATTCCTGCTGAGCAGCTACAACACTTGTCCGCTCTGAAATACGACTTCTGAGCTCCTCATCATCTTTTTGTTAACATAAGATCAGCAGACATTTCCTCTCTAACCGTCTCCTGTCCTGACAGGTTCTGGAAACGGAGCCGTCGCTCAGGTAAACATGATTGGCAGTTTCTTTTGTTACCACATAAAGTTCTAAAGTGTCTCCTGTGTGTTTTGCTGCAGGTTCGGAGTTCCTGCTGCCAGTCAGAGGATTCTTCTGCCTGCTGTGTAGGGAGTTTTATGGAGACGCCATCTGTGCAGAAGAGCACGTCACAACACATGCTCACAACGAGAAGTACAAGGTATGAACAGAAGTCCGTACGGTCTGATGTTATCAGCCCATTGAATGACCCGTCATCAGTTCACATCAGAACAACAAGGCCTTCCTCCACCTTCTGGTAGCTCAGACAACACTACTGTCCTTTCTGATCACTGACGCAGAAACAAATCTGATAATGTTGGCAACGACAGATTCATACTGACGGAGTAGCTGCCTGAGTAGCTCGGATTCCCAAACCTAAACAAGTGGTTTTGGTGCCTACATTTAACAGAGAACTTCTGGTGCCTCAACTTAGCTAAGCACCAGCAGAAAACAATGAGTTAAAGCAAAACACGAAACAGACGTCAAAAAATATGAAACTCTAATTCTGGTCAGAGACAAGGTTTGCCTTCATAAAACTCATTCCTCCTCCATCCCCTCCAGTCTTCAAATGTGCACTTTGTTTTTCTTTTTAAGTATTAAATTGTGGCTCCACCACCAAAAAATGAGGATGCTGAGCTGCCAGAAGGTGGAGCAGTTCCCTACCTGCTTGTACGTATGGAATGATGTGCGATGATGTTCAGTGGTACTGTCACGTTTAAATTGGGTGCATAGAAGCTGTTTTCCAAGAGATTGGCATCGTTTGTCAGGCAAAAGTGCATTTTCTTATCTTGTTTGTGTTTTGATGCTTCCTTTACAAGAAACAAATGTACGAGAACCCACTGTACGAGCAGAGGAGGAACCTGGACCGCCAGGCCGGGCTGGCTTTAGAGGCGAGCGGAAAGAAGCGCAAGCATGACGACGAGGAAAAAGGCGGCAAAGAGGAAAAGTCCAAATACAAAAAGGAAAAAAAGGACAAGGAGAAAAAGAAGGAGGAAGAGGACGGTGCTCAGACGGAGAAATCCAAAGCCAAAAAGGAAGAAGTGGAGGATAGACCGACGAAAGAGGACAAGAGCCTGGAAGAGGACAAGCCTTCTTACAGCAAGAAAGAGGAGGAAGAAAAGCATAGATACAGCAAGAAAGATGACAGATACCGCAACAGCAGAGAGGAGGATGAGAGGGCAAAATATAGCAGGAGGGACGAGGATGACGACTACAGGGGTTGCAAAGAAGAAGAATATCGGTACCGGTACCGCAGGTATAACGATGACCGTTATGACGACCGACCCAAATATGGACCAAGAGACGGTGAGGACAAAAGTAAATATGGTAAACATGTTGATGCCAGATATAAATATGACAGGGAGCAAGACGAAGGAAAGCCCAAGCCTGAGAGGGAGGGTTTTAGAAAGCCAGAGCTGGATAAACCAGCAGGGAAGCTGGAGGTCAGTAAGCCTGAACCCCCACCTAAACACTATGACCCCCCCAAAATCTTCTGTGGACCCAGTCCAGCCATGAGAGCAAAGCTCCGCAAGCAGAGTCTGGAAGCTGGAAAGCCAGCACCGGCGACTCCAACCACTTCATTTGCCAAGTTCACCTGGAAGAAGAAGGAGAACCTGCTGGCAAAGGAGGCGGCTAAAGTGGCTGCTGAGTTCATAAAGGAAGACGAAGCAGCTGCAAAAGAGCAGCCAGCATCAGTGGAAGATTCTTTTGCAAAGTCGATGGCTGTCGCTAAGGAGATCGCTCTGAAGATCGGAAGCCAGCAAAGCGTGCCTCCTTCTTGGGCATCTAACGGAGCAAACCGGGGACGGATCCGGCCAAATCTCCCCGCACCTGCTGCAGTTCTAAGGAAAACAATCATGACTGGTAAACCTGCACCTCTGAATACTTTTCTCTCCATTAGACCTCAGAACACGAGCTTCCCAGGCCCTCCTCCAAAAGAATGTCCCATCCCCCCTGACCCTCTGACCAAGGCCCTGAATGCTCAGAATGCTCTCTTAGAAAGTAATCCAGTATCACCAGTTGCTAAACCAGAGCCATTTGGTGTTGGACCTGCTACACCAGTTTCTAAACTAGCCATGCTTGAGTCAAAGCTTGCGCCTTCTGAGGCTAAACCTTCACCCCCGGTGTCCATGTCTGCACCATGTGGAGTTCAACCTGCTCCACCTGTTTTCAAACCTGCCGCACTCGAGTTCAACCCTGTGCAATCTGAGTCTAAATTTAAGCAGCCGGTGCCGAGTCTGGCACCAATTAAAGTCCACCCCGCTCCACCTGTTTTTAAACCTGCCACGGTTGAGTCGAAACCTGCACCATCTGAGGTTAAACCTGTGCCAGCCCAGACTACCATCCCACAACCTGCACTATCCAAGGATACGCCTGCACAACCGACCATGATAAAGATAGTGTCTGACGTTGCAGCTCCCGGCGTCCCAGAGAGCGAGCAGACCCGTACAGTTTTCGTCAAGCCTCCACCCTTCATGACCATGGGCGAAGGAGCTCAGAAGTCTGAAAAACTCAAGAGCAATCTGGCTGCAGCCAAAGCCCAGGAATTATTTGACATCTTTTATAACAGCATCGGTGATTCAGGCCCCTCCTCTTTCACTAAACCAATAAAAGACACCCGAGCTGACAGTAGCGCGGCTAAAAGTCCACTTCCAACCCCACAATCACCAAAAGCACAGCCAAAACCCCAATCCCATCCTCGACCTCAGCCCCTTAGTGACTCCCACCTTCCAGCTAAGGTCCATGCATCTCCACAACCAGGCTCTAAAAATTGCCCACTAAATCCACAACCCCAGGCAAATTCAGACATTCAGATTGCATCTGTTTGGTCCTTGCAGCCAACTGCCAATTCAGCACCTGAAGTGGCTCCACCCAAAACCCCTTCACAAACAGCACAGCCAGAACTGGCTTCACCAGCTCGGCCTGATGCTGAGAGTTTACCTCAGAACCGGTCCTTGACTCCATCATCACAATTACAAACTGCTCCATCGACCCAGTCAGCCAAGCAGGAACCAGCACCTCAAACTGAGTCTCAGTCTGAACCGGCTTCTCAAATCCAAACACAGTCTGGACCTCAGCCGGACCAGGACACCCAGCCAGAGACCCATTGTGGCACTGCTCCAGAACTCGAATCCAAACCAAGCCCCAAAACCAGAGGCAAGAAAACCCCCCTTGCTCCCCGCCCTGCCCGACAAACCCGATCCCAAACTAGGTACCAGACCCGGCAGCGGCAGCAGCAGCAGAGTCCGCCCGAGCCAGAACCTGAGCCGGTTTCAGGTGACTCGGATTCTGCAGCTTCAGACCCAAAGGCGTTAGACTCATCTGATCCAGGCTCTGGATCACACCTGGAGTCAGAAGCAGGAGCCCCGAGCGAGGAGGACCCCCAGATGATGGAGATCACCCCAGAGACGCTGGGCCTCCCCTCGGACATGACCTCCCTGGACTTTGAGTACGATTTTAACTTTGAGTAGGAGCTGAGCGGCCGGCGCAACCAGAGTCTGTTTCTGTTTTTTTCTTAAATTCACTCGTATGTTCAAAGACACATTTCATGAGTCGTTAACTGTTCAAAGGACCAGTTTGTTTAGTTGAGACCAGTCCTCCTGTTCTCCAGAGTCTGTCTTTAGATCTCTTTGATCTTTTTGGACTGAAACACGTGAAGGACCAGGACGCTGTAGTAAAATCATCAGCAGTTCCCAGAAGCTACCGAACATGGACGAGGCTTTTGTTTCAATCTGAAACCGTGCATTGAATAAAAACAGCCGGCAACTGATTAGTTAAAAAAAGGTTTTTAAGCAGGAAAGCCAGACGTCCCTGTAGAGAGTTCCTGCCTGTGTTGGACAAAAAACCGTCTTTGTGTGGAATTTAAACTGTCCTCAACATCTTTGTTGTTTCTTGATGTTACGTGTAAAATAAACACATTGGCTGCGTTTTGTTTTATCAGCGACATAATTAATTTGTCAGATCTTCTGGAGGGTTTCTGGGCATCATTTCCTGAAAGCTCTGCAGACTTTGAGCTCCAATGTTCAGAAGCTGTTAAAAGGGAAAAGTTGCTCCGGATGAACTCCAGCTTGTTTTGGAGAAAAGTTCCTGCAGTGGAGTGTTTCCTGTTTACGCTCTGGTTCCTCAAAAGGTTCTGAGTCTGCAGGAGAAGCTGAATAAAGGTTGAAAAGTTCTCCTGGTTTGGTCACGTAGCAGCTCCGGGTGTCGACCGATTAGTGGTTTGATTATCTTTTTCTGAAATCCAGCGTTTTTCCAATTAGAGTTCATTTTATTTTATATGGAGGGATGAATGTTGAAAAGTTCTTTATTTAACATGTCTTATGTTGGCGTTAAAGTCTGCAGAAATAAAGCTTTTCCTCTTTTTTTCACCTAAGTTTTTATTTTCTTTTTCACATTTCTAGATGAACACAGACAGGGACCAGCTCTCAGTGATGGGCTGCATTAGTTCATTTATAAGAAGAAGAAAACAGTCGTCATTTAAACGCTGGTGTCTTTGTTTTTAAATCTAGTCCATTCATTTGTCCCGTTTTCTATTAAAATCATCTTTTTTTTCTTTTTTTTCATCATGTATGTCCTGTATTGTATCAAGCCGTTGTTTATGTCTGGCTGGGTCTGAAGCAGGCCAGGTTCTTGTTCTGGCCTTGAGGAGCACGCTAACCAGATCCGGCCATCCTCCGTCAGTAGAACGTTTCCCAGATCCAGGGTGCAGCACTTCTTGGTGACTGTATGTCCACGAACCTCATTCGTCACAGAGTTCCTTTCATCCCACAACATCTGTGTGTGGTCTGCATTCAAGTGACCACGTGGCCTCCAGCACATTTGCTGTTTTAATAATTGTTTGCTTTTTAGATTTAATAAAAAACGTGTTACATTTTTCCGATTAAATTCTCTGCATCTGAGCGGACTTGTGGATGTCTGTTGAGTTTCCAGTGTTGCTCAGAGATCATGACGCCCAGCTCTCTTTCCCGCCTGTGTTTTATGTGTAGTGCTCTGTTCTGACATCCCATCCTGCTGAGGTACAGTCTGGATATGAGCCTTGGTATTTGTGATCATATCCTTTAACCATCCCTTGCATCTCTGGTTTCCTTTCTTCTGGTGTATCCCTCTCTACCTCTGCATTGTAATGTTCCCTCAGTAGAAGATCTCTAAACAGGTCTTGATTCTGAAGTGCAAATCTTTTCTTTAACCTTCTTAGTTCTCCATTTTCTGTGGAGTACAAAACGCAGTCGTTCTGTTTTTCTTTAACCGTTGACTCGTACGACCCGGTTTAAATCCACCACCCTGTGCTGTCCATTTTAACACTTCTTGTTCCTTTTTCAATTTAAGTTGTCTGTTAAGCGTGAACCATGCTTCGAGTGTAAATACTGTCATTGGATCAGTCACATTCCTGGTATGTGTCTCAAGAGCTTTCCATCTTGCTATGTGGTTGTCGTTGCACCAGTTAGCTAGTGCTGGACGCTGGGCTGCGTAGACGTGTATCTTAAAATCTGGGCGTGCCAGTCCACCTTGATGCTTTGGCAGTTGGAGTGCCGTGTATCTGACTCCCCAAATAAAGCTAGATATTAATTTACCCCACTCTGTAAACCGTTTTGGTGGAATTTCTATTGGCAGGGATTGAAATAAATGCAATAACGTTGGCAAAATGTTCATTTCACAGTATTTATCCTGCTGCTGAAATCCACCGGGCGTGTGGACCGTCTCCCTGTCCTGTCGCATACTTTGATTGACTTAGTTGTAGCTGTGATCTGACATGTTTTGGTGACGTGTACCTCTCAGTGTTTCATTTGTTTTGACTCCTATGTTTACGTTTGAGTTCTACTGAGGGGGTGTGATTTAATGAGAGAATCTGAATTTTTGCAAGATTTAATTTAGATCCTGAATAGTAATTGAATTTTTGTTCCACCATTTGCAAGAAGGAAGTGTCTACATCCGTTAAATATATCACCACGTCATCTGCAAAAGGCTGATTTTGCGTTCCCTACTCCCAGCAGTGATGCCCTTCAGTTCCATATCGGAACCGCTGGTGCCACTGGTTCTAAACAGTGACCAATGTGGGGCTCAGAAAACATCCCCGTCTGGTTCCCCTCCTCAGCACAAACCTCTCCGATGACGAACCGTTGTTGATACATGCCACTGAATCTTCAGTGAAGCCAAATTTTTCTAATGTTTGGTACAAAAACCGATCAAATGACCTTCCTGCGCCGAGGCTTGTCATGGCTGCGTTTCAACTTTCTTTTTGAATGTTATGTATGACACGTAGCGCTTCATATTTCATGTCATTAACGGTTGTTTTAGCATTTAGTATCCCCACGTTTAATGGCCACGCTGTGTCCTGCTGTGTACTGTCAGTCTGAATAGTTAAATATACTGCGTTCTGGTCCGACACGTCTGCTGCTCCACTGTTAGAATCCATTACCCTATACGCACCTCCCTTATATAGTATATGTATATAATCCCTCTCTGGAGGATGCATACTTCTCTAAGTCTTCACAAAAAGTACTGAGTAGTTTGTTAAATGGTTCTTGGTCCTCTTTTTGCTCGATGTGTCTGGATTATGATTCAGTACCACATTAGAGCTCCTCCACATGCAGAGTTAGAGATCCAGACGGCAGCCCGTCTTTTGTGATCGCCCGTGTGTGAGCTGTAGGATGTATGTTTGTAACCAAATCTTTTTAGCTTCTCATGTTTTTGTTTTGGGGCTGCAGGTGGCTCAGTGGTTAGCACCGTTAGCGCCTCACAGCTAGAAGGT